GAGCTAAAAAAAGCGAAAAAGTTTTGTTACAGTAAAAAGTTTGTAAATCTTTTCAAAGAGTATTGAAAAAAGTTGCTCTTGATGCATGCAAGTACAGGCTGATTCAGAAACAGTAAAAAGATAGCACAAAACGATTGCAGTTTTCCTACTCTATATAAGCTTTAAGCTGAGAAGAAACAATGAAGATATGGAATTTGCTGTTTAAAAATGTATTTCTTCTGAAAGTTGTAGAAAAATTTTGGTGAGGAAAGTCACCGAATGGAAGAAAATTGCTCATAAAAAGTAAAAGTTGGAAAGGCTTTCATTTTTATAGAACTTTGAAATACATTATTTTTGTAGTTGACTCCTTTGCATTTGGCACGGTAGGCTAAGCCTACCGACGTAGTGAAATACAAACACGAAAACGGAGCCGACCTTATCGCATGATTCCGTCCCAGGTAACGAACTACTTCCTAAAAAAGGTATTGTCAGTATTGCAAATATTGAAAAAAAATATGAAGGCTAAAAAATGCATTAGCTTTTGAAAACTTACACTGAAAACAAATTTATTTTAGCGGAATCCGTTGCATTCAGCATCTGAGGCATGACGGCCTGAAGTTGTGAAATATTTGGTTGCGAATGACCGCGACGTCAATGCAACGGATAAAGATGAGGTAACAGCTTGTCAAAATTGTCAAACCGAACTTTTGCGCCGCTCACAATGTGCAGGAATTTATATCAGTGTAATGACAAAGAAAGAATTCATTTGTACAAATGTCACAGACAACTGAGAGTATTTGATTCTCTTTTTAGCAATGTTTAATTAATTATCTTAGCTAAGATGTTTGAGTAAAAGCTTTGACGCAAAAATATGTTATTGATAAAAATATGTTGTTCTGCAAAATAAATCTTTAATACAAGAGAAAACGATAAATGATATAATCAATCGAAAGATATAATAAGGGTGGCAAAAAAATGGTTAAAATGTTTGAGACTGCAACACTTCTAGATTTAAACTCTCTTTGAAGGTTGTTTTTATTGAGAAGTTTAATTTATACACAGTTCCAATGCAAAATAAAAATGCTGGAAATCTTAAATTACTGTAGAAAGTAAATAATTTTTTTTTCTTTAGCAAACTCCATTGCATTTGGTATCTCAGAAATGCCACAGCAAAACGCTATCGTTTTTGACTGGTTAAATGGTGCAGAAGATATAGACAAGGTAGAGGCATTTTATAAGTTTAGGATCAGTTCTGAACATAGTCCTCAAAATTCAGCGATTTTTTCATATCAGTTTCAGTTAGAGTATTTTCCAAGTTATTGTCTAAAAAAGTGGAAAAGGTCTGCCTTTTTTGATTTGTTCTTTGTAAAAATTTTGCTTGATCACTTGCGCTCAAAGTTTGACAAAATGGTACTTTCAACAAATTTTATTTGAAGGATGTCGTTGGAAGTGTGTTTGATGAAAGGCATCAACGGAGCAACTGGACGTTGTAAAATTGACCACCAAATGGTAAGACAGATGTGAAAAAGTAAAGATATAGCTTCCTTGAATTGAATAAAGGAAGTACACTTCAAACAAAACTTCTTAAAATTAAAACAATTGTTTTTTACTTTTTAATTTATGTTCCTTCCCTCGTCATCGGCAAATTTTAAAGAAATGCAGCGAAAAACAATAAAAAGATAATTTTTAATACAAAAAAAAAAA